CCATCAACAATAGTCATGCTTCTTGAACTTTTTTGAACTTTGTTTTTTATACTATATTGAATTAAAGCAATATGACACTGTGACTCCTCGAATTGTGGGATGGACATCAGTCCATGCTAACAACGTTCCAGAACTTTTGCAAGTTAGTAATGTGTGATATGCCATAGAGCTTCATCTCACCATGTATTCAGAGAGGGCTAAAGAGAGCATTTAGACTGTTCCAGCCAAATTAGGATTAACAGTCGATGTTTTTTAGTAGTTATTTGATGGGGCAGCAAAACTTTGATGAGAAAACTTGAGGCCTAGTCTTCTGTGTTACAAGTATGAGTAAGTATATTGCAAAGCTTAACGGACAATCCAGCAATGTCTTGATGCTATTTTCTGCAACTCGGTTTGGCTTCGTACGCATTGATGAATTTGAAGATCGAATTAGAGGTTAGTGAAGTCGTCAAATGTGAAGGCTTGCTTAGTGAATAGCGCTTCGTAAGACTTCCTTCACTTCGATTGTGTCAACCGGAAGATGTTGCCGGTAATGAAAAAGGAGAATGAACAGTTGCATGCCAATCTCGATGAGTGAATGAAGAGGCCCGAGTCCTGCGAAGAGGAGAACTGCCTTTGGTGCACTTCACTTATCTTTTCAGAGACTGAGGAAAGTAGTATGATTTACTAGCACAGGAGTTTCAGGAATGACAAATAATTAGGCGAAGAGCTGATAGTAGGTGCAAAAAAATAGTGAATGTGTTTTCCAGTGTCCTAAGCTCCAACAAGTGTGGGTTCGTACTTTGTCTCAATTATGTGACCTCAATCATCTTTTTATGTAGAAATTTGTGTTCTCTCTAGGGCAATATCATCTCTAGCCGTAGCTGGTGAATAGTGAAACAAAAGTCTGGCCTTGATTGGTGTGTTATGACTGACTAACTTGAAGTGCCTGAAACATAGCAGTTGAGGCAAAAGCAACAAAATAGACGCAGGAGGCTCTCTTGGTTGGGTAATTGCACCTATTTATAGGAACAAGTTGACTATTTCGTTTGATTGTCAGTGGGTTGATGTGAATGAAACAGTAAAGCCTCCGGGCTGTGGGGAATTTGTTAAGTTTAGGGTGGGTGGGACCATGTTCTGATACTTTCATCTACACTTTGCTGTAAACC